GCCAGCGCACATTGCCGGCTCATGTCCAGCTGTCACTTTTTCTATAATTCTTTTTTTAATGAGGTAGATAAGCTCCTTGGAGTTACTGTTTTTTAATGGGGCATTTAAAAAGATTTCTTTTATTGTTGTTGCAATTGAACAAACTAAGAGGACCACAACATCACTTACCAACAATCCATTAGTGTCACCACCCAAGTTCTTCAGACATGAAGGTGAGAAACTTTTCCTCCTTGTAGTGTCAAAACATATTTGGATGTCTGCTGAGTGAGGGTTTAATGGCTTTAGAGGACAATACTAGGGAAGTCCTAAATCTGTGTGATAATTCTCAGCAAGCAGTCATCTTTCTCACCTAGTTGCAGAAGTCACAGCGGGAACCAGAGGCATATTCCTTGTGGAGGAAGAAATGCTCTCGTCCTGAACAATGGTCACCTCTAGTATGTGTTCAGGATGTGTCAAAGCATATCAAAGGAGAAAACACACAGTAGAAATCCAGAGTAGTAAATCCTGTCCCTACCTCACCACTCTACTAGTATGGAAGATGATATTCTCAGTAAAGAAGAGAAGCATGACCCATGAGCTGAGCCATGTCTGATGCAGTGCTGCTGGCAAGGCCCTCCCAGTGTACGTGGATTCCTCCAGTGAGCTGCAAGAGTAGTCACAGAATAATATTGCCTCTGTTTGAGGGAGCAGGGAACAAGATTTCTTCAAACCTTCAGCCTTGGAAGAGCTGCTTGCACTACACACAGTTTTCCCCCAAGAGAAGATGTCACAGCCAGGATGATTGCATGTTTGGTATCACCAGGAAGAATGTAGACAAAAAGTGGCATGAACACAGAGGTATCATACATACAATAAACATTCAGCATGAATGAGTGGAAAGGACCAGTTCCAAAAATGGGTCCAACATCCTAGTTTTTACAAAAAAGGTTGATTGTACTGTATCAGGACCATCACGATAGAAGACAATTAAATATATTTTCAACAGGATCCATGTGAGCAGCCTTCAATGTCTATGCACTTGTGCTAACTGATACTATGGTGCAGTCCAAGTGACAATAAGTTATCCATACCCGCAACAAACTTGCTTTTGAATTTCTCCATAAGATAAAGCCTTGCTGTTCTTTACCATTAATAGTACTCATCTTATCCCAATCTATATTCCTCTGCTGGACCTACTGTTTTAAGTATAGGGTTAACATCCTTTTGCATGATTTACGTGTAAGGACCACTCAAGAATTAATGACTCAAAGCTTTCAGATGCCCACACAAATTCCACTGGCATTTCTGTTTCTTCACACAGCAGGAACAGTCTCATATAACACCATACAAAAAGGGTAAAAAGGAAAAAAAAAGCAAACAGATATTAATCCACTGAACTACCATGAAAACTAGGCCATAGAATAATCTATCCATCTGGTCTGCAACACACATCAAATTCAAAAAACAATTGGGTCAAATACCTGGATGTAGAAAGAAAAAAAAAAATCTATAGATGCTGGAGCATAACATGAAGCATTTCCCAATCATCTTCAAAAACCACTGCATCTAGGTTTACTCCCTGCTTTTCTACAGCACCAAAAAAAGTAGTCTCAAAGAAGAGAAATTATTTCAAAACCTAGTTTTAGAAACTTGGGTAGCCAGCAGCATATTTACTTGTTGATTTTGAAAGAGCAAACTGAAAAACAGTCCATATGTAATAGCTGATACCTGTCAGTTTTTGAGACAGCCGATAGTATCAGTTGGACAAGTAACCTGTGCACCCAATGGTCGTGTCAGTGCTGCTATATCCATAAGAAGGTATTCTGAAGCCTGAGAGATCGTTCAAGAGTGTAAATAAGTGTCAGAAAGAAAGGAACAAAGCTTATTTTTTTTCTCCCTGTTGAACACCAACAATAGCATTCTGCAACAAATCTTTATTAGCCCTGACATTTATAGTAAAGGCCTGCTAGTGAATCAGGACTAGAAAAAGCAAGGAAGAGAACAAGGAGACAACCACCAGTCACTCAGTAAAGAGCAGGACTAGAATATCAGACTTGTTATGGGTAAGAGGGTCACGCACTGGCAGATTTATTGAGGGAGGTGGTTGTTTACCACTGCTGTGATTAACTGAGCACAACACGTCGGGCTTGTGGTCTGTATACCAGAAGCTCAGTGCTAGTAGAAAACTGAAATATAAGATAATGTTTTGAAGTAAAAATATTTATTCTTGAAAGTGTTGTAAAAGTGTTTTGGAGGTAAAAATGAAATGTGCAAACACATTGTAAGAATCAAGAATTCCTTGGTATACAGAACTAAAATATTCATATTCTGATCACAGAAAAAATGTGTTAAAAGTTTTACTTACTTCGGGTGGGTAAATTCATCCACTAGGACAACCTTTTCTACCAGGTCTCCACCAATGGTTCGAGTCAAATCATAGAAATCATTCTTAGAGTATGTCTCAGAAGGCAGCCAAAAGGAGATGTCATTGACCAAAGGTGGATATCTGCTGAGTGGCTACAAAAAATAAAAAACCATACCTTTATAAGTGGCTGGACTTGGTAGGTATATCTACAACTGTTTTGAACTTGTATAACACACAGCACACATTTTAGAAGCTTTCTGAAATGCTTTTTGAAGTGCAAACTGACCTCGTAAACAACTGAGATGCAAGATTTTATACTAGGAAATGTCTTTTAAAGAACCCCTCATAAGCACTTTCATTCATTCATTCAGAAGAAAAAGCTTGTTTTGTTTCCTAAAATCAGCATTTATGAGCCTGAATACACCTTTGGATCAGAGCCATTTAAAAGGAAGAGATCATTTTAACATGATTATTCACTGGGTAGAATTGCACTTTTTAAAAGCATTTATCGGATTTTTGTACAAATTAAAAAATTCTTACCATATTCATGTATAAAATTTACATGTATTTTATATCATTCTTACATAACACAATATGTTTATTATTTGTATTGTCCAATTTCTAAGAAAGTCTTATCAATAGGCACTTTGTTATTAAAAGGTTACAATAAGAAAGACACTTTGGCTTAAAAAGATGGATCACTTCCCAGTGGTTTTTATAGTCATCCAGACATCTACAACAACAAAAAAAGGTATTGCCATTAGCATAATTATGAATTCCACAAGTACCACAACAGACTCTTAAACATAAAGGGGCATCTTTGCTGCAGACAGAAAGACCTCATCCTGTGGTCAGAACAGAGTAACTTGTTATTTGCAAAAACAGGAAGAGAAAGAGAAACAAAACAAGACAATTATTAATTTTTCAGTTTTGATGAAACCTCCCTGGAGTCAGTGGGTTTCAGATCTCGCCTTTATTCAGACGTTTCTGCCTTTGAAGAAAAGAAAATGGTAATGCTCTTCTTTCCTGCCCTCTAGGTCATGCAATATCTTACTTCTGCCTTCCATTAATGCACTGCAGTTGAAATAAGTACTTTTGCACAAGATTGTTGGGGTCTGCAGGAGAAAACATCTGTTCTTATTTTGCTTATAGTATATGACAGCTGATGTGTACACCTTGGTCTATACGGCATATTATCTCACTCAAAAATGTATTCCATGCCTGGGAATGTTTTATGATGGAGCAGTGAAATCCAAAGTGAATACCTGCTAAAGCAATAAACCTGTTAAAAAGGCAAATTTACAGCATGCTGATTTACTCAAATCCTGTTCTATACAGTGTAAACTAGTCAATAAATACCTGATAAGGAATACAGTGCAAATTAAATTAATAACCCCCCCAGTGAATAAAATTGTGCATCACAAATGATTATCGAACTTGTTAAAGGAATAAACTTGTCAAATGAATTCATATCCTGTACACCAAATTAAAAAAAAACTTGCACAATAAATCCGTCCTGCAAGAGCCTTTGATAAAACACTAATGAATGAAATGTAAACACCTCCTCTGCTATACAAAAGTCACAGCTGAAAATGCTGGAGATAATCCTCAGTCAACAACCTGATATGTGTGTTAGTGTAAATAAAGACATAACCCTGCAGCAGACCTCTATATTCTCACCTCACCCCTATCTACAGCTGTATTTACCACTGCTATATTTCAGCAACCTACTGAACACACTTCAAAGCTTGTGGGGACTATTCCAAAACTCAGTGAACTCCCAGCTTCAGGACATTTAGTTATTCAACCAGAATATATGGCTCATGAGCCTAAGCATGATGACTCCATCAGGGCAGGTGCCCACTTTCATTCCCACAGGTACAAGGACACCAAAAGAAAAATAATTACATGTTAAAGCAACTCAGTAATATCCTAAACCCTGAAAGGAGCAGAGTACTCACAATTCATAGAGAGTGAGTATTTGCTATCAGTTTCAAAAGAAACACGATTATGTCAGGCACGTGAAAAGAGCACTTAAAATGAGATGTATGCAAGGACCCGACGTGGTCATATCTTTCAAATATACCTGGAACAGCCTGATTTAGATTACATCCTCCTGGATTATCAAGTCTGTGAGAAAACTGCTCTTTGACTCAATCCATGGTGTTACTGGCCTAGATACAGAATTGTTGTAATTTTGTGTGTGCATGCATGTGTGCATGCTTGTGTGTGTTACAAAGACTGGCAGGACAAATGCTTAAAGTGGTAAGTGTAATGTTTTTATTATTAGGTACTAACCTTTTCTCAGAGCCTTATAATGCAGAAAAATCTTTTATGGTAAAAGGCAAGGCAATAATCCCATATTATACTGTCCCTTCACCACCTGGCTGCAGTCAATATCATTGCAGTAACTATTATATCAACACTAAAGTTAGTATAAGGATAAAATTCCTAGTTCTCAAGCGTATTGATCTGTTTGTTTGTAGAGCTACATGAACTACATTATTGTTTATTAGCTGCACCTAAAACACAAAGAGGATAGGACAAGAGTCTCAAACTGGCAGGTCAAAATAAAGTTCCTAAATTTGTATTCAGGCACCCCAGCAAATACATACTGCGGTCCAACAGATCCCGTTGCCATTACTGTCCTCCTTTCTAAATTCTCCTGCCCCTTAACAGCACTGTGGTCTAAAGCCCATTGACTTTGATCCTTTTCCACGTTCGAGGCAAACGACAGCCCTGAAGACTGTTTCCTTATGAATTTACAGCCATTTTGGAGGCTCCCCTTGAGATCAGGGTAGTGTTCTCGCCACATTCCCCCCCCCCCCCCCCAGCCACTACTTCCAGCTATGTCCTCTTCACGACTTAGGTGTGCTCCAGCACAATGCTCAGAGAAGCCAACAGGACACTTTGCTGGCTCCGCTGCCTGTGTGTCGGCTGACTCCTAGCATGCTGCCCAACCCTGGAAGCCCCACTGTCTCTCCTTCCCCTCCCTCACCACCACCACCCCCACCCACCTTAGGTTTTTAGGGAACTGAAAAGAGGGTTAGGAAAAGGTAGAACAGATCCCACTTGCAGAGCGGTGCTGCGAGGTGCTGGCCAGGCCTGGCAGAGAGCTGCGCACCACTTCTTTGGTCCCATCAGAGCTTTGTCACCACAGCTCTACTTTAAATGTTCTGTTTACTTTGTTTCAAACGTTGCAATGCGCTATCTTTGGCATTTTTCAACAGCCTTGAAAAACAAGAGCGCTTTCCCAGTAATTACACTATCTATAGGACTCCACTGAGCCCACGTTGTAGGAAATATTGCAAATAATGACCACATTTTTCAGCCACCCAAGGTGAAAGCATTTAGTAGTACTGAATTACTACCATTTTTTTTTTTAATAAAACGGAAGCTTATGATGATCCACCTTCAATGAGACATGTTTACTAGTCATTAGTCACCCTTCTCTGGTTAATAAATAAGCCAAATACTTACTAAAAATGCAAGCTTTTCCCTCTCAGGGTGCTACTTTTAGGACAGAAAGGAGTAGCTGGACACTGGTGCTGTATCCTGCCCTGCCAGCCTGCATTGCCTGTGCCTAGAGGTACCTGAAAACTCAGGGCTGTGACTCTTCTACATGGGTTTAGTGATAGTTTAGGGCATTCCTCATCCCCAGCCCCCTGCTCTACCTTTCTGTCTGAAATTACTGCCCCTGCAGCAGCTGATAAAACAAACATGTGCCTCTTCCTCCACCACTGCAGTTCACAGCCTGCTGTAGCCAGCTGAAAATTGTCTCTCTTGGTGGTTTATGCTAATATATGCTGGATGAAGTATTGCAGCAGCATGAGGCATTGGGGGGCAGCTGTCTTAAGCAGCAATGGGATCCACCAGAACTCATCTGTCAGCATAAAACAGCAAATACTTGGGCTCTGTGTACATTGCCACACCAGGGCACTACTCTGGACACCTTAGCAGCATCAAGGGGGCACTGTAAGGGTAGTTTCTGTTCATCCGCACATGACAAAGTATTGTCAGCTAGCCTGGATCCAGATAACTCACAGCTGCACAGGAGAGAAAGTACAACATAGGGCAGAAGCCCCCGCCTCCAGAGGAAAAGCAGCTGGGGATAAGGCACAGCCAGTGCGAGCGAATAAGCCGGTACAAGGCCACAGAGCGTCTTGAGCCCAGAGTCCCGAAAAACAGGATGAATCTCATAGAATCATAGAATCATTAAGGTTGGAAAAGACCTCCAAGATCATCAAGTCCAACCATCAACCTAGCATGACCATGCCTACTAAGCCACGTCCTGAAGTGCCACATCTACACATTTTTTGAACGCCTCCAGGGATGGTGATGCCACCACCTCTCTGGGCAGCCTGTTCCAATCCTTGACCACTCTTTCAGTACAGAAATTTTTCCTAATATCCAATCGAAACATCCCCTGATGCAACTTGAGGCCATTTCCTTTCATCCTATCTCAGCACTTTTCACAAATATTTGGCATTAGGAAAAAAAACCCAAACATTTTCCCAGATGCAGGAATCACAAGTGCAACATGCCAAATGGACAGACGTTTTGTGCTGTGGCTGTTCACTTGGTTCCCTCCCTGCTGCCGGCTGCAGATGGGGGGACACAACAAACGAGCGGCAAACACAGCGGAGGAACAAGCTGTACTTGTATTTTGACAGTGGCAACACAAACACAAGGTTAACGATGACATGTACCAAAAACTGGGTTAGGAACTCCACAGCAGCCAAACTATTAAAAAGCCGGCCATGTTTTACTGCCATCACCAGTCTAAGTCAGAAAAATATGAGACTTAGTAGCACCACAGTTGTCAAGCCTTAACAGTCCTGCATTGCACATGTTTTGGAGAGGTATGTACATAAACTATACAGTTTTAATGCAACATCACATTCTCATTGATACAAAAGCTACAGTCCCGTAATAGATAAGCCACTCAATATATTCCATAGTGAAACCACATTAATTCAGTGTTATCATAGGAAATTTAAACACATAAGGCATGAAATTCAAATTTTCAAATTTACAACTGTAACTTAGCCCCCTTGCACATAATGAAATTTCCTGTATTAGTGTGTATACCCCTAGATTTGCACTTTCATATTTACAACCAGAGTAGACAAATTACGGTTGCTGCAGGAAA